CTGTGGGGGCCAAGTGGGTCTGAAGATCGGTACTGCTGGGACTCTTGGGGCTGAAGGTTCTCTGCCGTGGATCTGTGCCATGGCAGAGAAGAGGGCTTACAGTTTTCAGAGCATTTTGTATGAGGCTCCGAGCGGGAAGACCTCATTGTAGAGATGAAGAAACGGAGGCTCACAGAGGCTGACTTGCTCAGCACCACAGTTGTAAAGCTGGAGGTAGAATTATACCTCTCACTCAGGGAACCTCTCACCTGTTCAACTCTGTAAACACTCATCTCAGGGAGAAACAAGAAACCTCCTTCCACTGTGTGTGTCGGGGGGTGGGGACGGGGAACACTCGGTCAAGTGACGACGAAACCTCAGGAGTGGTTTTCCAGGGGACTCTGATCAACCTAAAGAAGTGTCTCGCTTTAAATTTGGGGAGACTGACGGAGAGCAGTGGTGAAAAACAAAAGGTATTGAGTAGACTACAGAAGGATGCAAGGTCTCTGGAGCCCAGCCCCCACTCCCTCATGTTCTCAAGATATGATTATATTAGGAGGTTGGAGTGATGGTTACTATGGTAACCACATCTTTATCAATGCCCATCTACCTGAGATTTTCTTGGTGGCCAGTTACCCCTTGCCCACGAAGAGTCAGAGAAAAAGGTCTGCCCTTGTCGCCACTCCTTCTTGCGCCATGGCAGTTGGTCAGGGCCAGCTGTGCCTCCCTGTGCTCCCAAATCTTTCCAGCCAGAAGCGAGAACCCCCTGCCACGTGGTCCCCTGGCACAGGCAGCACAGAAACTCCAGCCGTGGCAGTGATGGCCGCCGGTGCTTCCGGGGCACTGTACCAGCATTTCGAATACATGAGAAAGAATCTATCAGTAGCCCCATTTTCTGGATGGAAAAAAACCGAGGTTCATAGATCAGAGACCATGGTGTGTGTGACTGGGGCATAAGAGCCAGTTGTCAAGAAGGGCTAGTAACTCTGCCACCTCAAAATAGCAGGTGCATGGGGCTGCGGAAGAGACGGTGATGCAGCAGGGCCCGCTCTGCCCGGAAGAATGGAGGGGAGCTGGGGAGCGCTGAGCAGTGTGCTTTGGTAACATGCTGACAGATCGACCAAGGGGTCCCTCGAGGGTCTTCCAGCTGCCTCCTGACATGCTCATGAGGCAAAAGCAACACACCTCATGAGTCACTGAGTCCCCCACCTCCCAGCCCAGCCTCAGGCTTCTGGAAGCTGCAGATGGCCCAGAGTTGGGCTTCTGTCTGACCCTGCTGTGCCTCCAAGGAGAAGGACATGACTTTGCCTTCTGAGTCGAGAGGAAATGGCCCAGAAGAAATAAGCGACCAGCCAGATCGGGGCAGGGAGACCAACCCCAAAGCAAACCCCTCATGGTTGAATGGATTCCAACTCGTAGCAGCCCTTTGGGGCTGAGTGGAACTGCCCCATGTGGTTTCCAAGACTGTAAGACTGTGGTCTCGATGGAAGCTGCCTCATCTTTATTCTGGGGATCAGCTGGTGGGTTTGAATTGCCAGCCTTTCAGTTAGCAGCCCGGCACTTAACCCCTGCACCACCAAGAAGTGGCCAGAGGGGAAAAACACTTATTCCTTCGATTCACAGGCATCATCAACTACATGAGTGTCTTGTTCCCTGGCAAGCCCTGCCTCTTCTCCCTCCTTCTTTCCCTTTCCTGCCTGACAGCAGACACATGCTCCTAGAATCCCAACTGAATCCCGACTCTTCCGAGAACCTTAAAGGACATCTCTGGAGAAGGATGACCACCGCACCCTAGGACACAAAGGCACACGAGTCTCACCCCAGTCCCGTTGCCTTTTGTTAATGTGGTCCTTGAGTAGATTTCATGTGGCAGAGGAGAACTGTGCTCTGCCTGGCTTTTCATGGCTGAGGTTTTAGAAGTGGGTTGCCAGGTCTTTCTTCCAAGGTGCCTTTAGGTGGGCTCA